GAAGGAGTTTGTGCAGAAAGCTATGGAAACTTGGCAGGAGTTAGACATGTCCTGGGATCCACTGAGCAGGACGGACTGCTGGGCGTTGTTGTACTGTCTGGACTGCTGTCCTCACTTCAGAAACCTGAAGCTCAACTTTGCAGCTGAGGAGCTGAAGATGCTTCAACCTGTGCTGTGCAGGACCCCAGAACTAGAGTGAGTCTGCAAATCTAGTGATGCACAAATACAGAACAGTTATTTTTAGTGTATGGTCTCTAATATGTTGGTTGACATTATAAACCAGTGAGGTTAGGTTTGAACATGTCGAATGAGAAACAGAAGAAATCAATATCTGATGCCATATAGAAATAACAATGTACTTATACTACCCAAAACCTTCAGACTGTTTCTGACTTACAGCAACTAGCGTCAACTCGTCCAGACTGTAAATTGGGGCAAAAATCCAGGCAAAGGTTGTGTAGTGTATTCCAGCCTTAATTGTGAGAAAGTTTAAAGAGATAGTTCAAAATGAAAATTCTGTCATTAATTACTCACCCTCATGTCGTGTATGTGTGTTGAAGACTGACACAGAAGAGAAGAAATTGTTGAATAAAGTCATTTTTGTTTTCTTTGTGCACAAAAAGTATTCTCGTAGCTTCATAAAATTAAGGTTGAACCACTGATAGATATCACATGGACTATTTTAATGATGTCCTTGCTACCTTTCTGGGTCTTGAACATAGTTGTGTTGCTGTCTATGGAGAGTCAGAAAGCTCTCGGATTTCATCAAAAATATCTTAATTTGTGTTCCGAAGATGAACAAAGGTCTTATGGGTTTTGAACAACATGAGGGTGAGTAATTAATGACAGAATTTTTGGGTGAACTATCCCTTTAAAAAAAACGTTATGCTTGAGATATAAAGTCACAATTTTTGGATTTTAAGATGCTGTTTTAAGATGAGAAAAAAATGGGCAATTATGAAATGTAAACATAAAATTGTCAGAGGAAATCACAAATTTAAAATTATGTATATGCACAACTATGAGAAATGCAGACTTCAATAGTATATCAGGGACCTGTTTCATAAAACAAGTTTACCAAATAAGCCAGGTTTATTTCAGTTAGTCTGACTTATTTTGAACCAAATCGACTGATAATACATCAGACTAACTGAAATAAACCTGGCTTATTTGGTAAACTTGTTTTATGAAACAGGCCCCTAAAAATAAATAAATAATGTTTAAAAGTTGCTCGATCAATGAGTTAAGTGATTTTGACGATATTTTGTTTTTAGGTTGACAGTGCAAAACTTTTCAGACACAGATGTCACTGATCTGCTCGCAGCTCTCGGAGAAGGAAAGCGGCTTCGAGAACTGAGGTAAAGATCTGTAACTTTTCTGTTCAGCACAGAGCTGCTGATCATATTTGTGGCTGATAAATGTCATGATATAACTGATAAGCATATAAATCTCTTTTACAGACTGAACAGCAGCTGTCTGTCAGATGAAAGTGTGCAGCAGGTTCTTAATGCTCTGCACAAACAGAACAACGTGGGTGGACTTCAGATTGCAGTAAAGAGCATCTCAGCTGACACTGCCCACGTCATCACAGACTTCCTGCAGACCAAAGCCAAATGGGAGGAGATCAGGTATCTCAAGAACATTTTCTTACATTTGCATACTTTAAGCAGCAAATTTCACTCAGCTAAGACCCAAACTCCATGCTTTTAATTTTAGATGTTAATGTAATGACTGTTTATTATATGCTCTGGTTGACAGTTTAAGGACTGATGATGCAGAAAGTCTCTGCTCGTCTCTGCGGCTCTTCAGCTTTGAAGGAAAGCTCGTGTAAGGATTTTTTTCCACACAACTGGACTGCTCTGTGTTTTATGATTCTTATTATTTTCATGAATCGCTAATGAATACAGTTACTTGACAAGTTTCACTATGCATTGTTGTGCAACCTCTTTGTAAGACTCCTGCATTCAGACTTATTGGACGTGTACACTTGATAATGATCCAGATATATGAGGAAGTGTGTTTCTTGTTGACAGGTTGAATGTGGTGAAATGGTGTTCAGACCTACAGAATGAACCGTCACTGTCAGAAATCATTCTCAAATGTCCACATTCAAAGGCATCCAGTATTAATGTCAAGAGCTTCTTGCAGGCCTTCCACAGTGTAAACTGTATAACAGAAGAGTATGTTTTCAAAACCACCTTCACCTTCCTGTCATGCTCTTTGTGGATAGAGATTACTGTAACTCTTTCTCTCTGTCTGTAGGAGTGCAGATTTTAACAGGCAGGTCGATGCTCTGCTGTCTCAGCTGCCATCTGTGTCTGGTTTGAGTGCGATAAATCTTTCCGTTCCCATCCTGACGGTGACTTGGGCTTCCAGAATCCTCTTACTCGTAGAGTCTTGTCCTAGACTGGCTGTGATCAGGTAAGAGTAATTAGCTCTGTGTTTGTCCGTTTGGTTTGTGTGTATTAGTGCATTAGTGTACTTTATAAATGGGGTCATTATACAGTAAATGTAAGTCTAAGTAATTATTTGTATCATAAGTAAACATAAAATAAAGAAGGGCAATAGAATAAGCAATTGCCCCCTGCCATGCTTTTCACAAATTTAACAAATTAAATTTTCACATTTTTTTTTCACATGTTGTGACTGTAAGCTCTGAAATACCTGGAAGAATAAAAGTGAAATGCCATTTTGACAATTTTTTTTAAACTATTTTTCACATTTTCTCAGCTGGTTTGGTGTAGAATCAAACATGTCAGCCTTATCTCACAGTAACATTTCTGTTTTGTAGTTTTGACGCTGGTTCAAAGGGCTCCGATGGTGCTGAGTGGCTCCCTGGTCTTTTAATGGAGGAGGGAATCAAGTTATTGCAGGAATCCGCAAAACGTTCCGAGTGCATTGTGAACATTAGAGGGTTTGTAATATAAATGATATTTGCATATATGTTTATTTGTAGTCATATGTTATGTTAGTTCTACATAATCTACTAGTGGTATGGACAGCTGTAGATGAGTGCTTGATGAATGTGAAATATGTATTTTTTATATGAAAATATGCATATTCTCTGATGATCTTTCACATTTACCTTTCTGTGCTGTGATTTCACACATGTAAGGCATCAGCAGCTTTTGTGACTTGACCAAATATGACAGATTCTTTCAGATAATCTTTTAATGAAATCTATTATCCATGTCTTTTAAAATAAGTGTGTTTATGCTGTATTGAATGTGTGCTGCTGTTCTGTGTCTGTGCGAAGGTTCAGATGCAGTAAATCCTCTGACCGCTGCACTTGTCACACCAAGCAGATCGAGGAGCTCAGCTGCAACCAGAGAGTGACCATTGAGTTCTGTGGAGAGAAATGTACAGAAGACATAAAGTGAGTTCTGATTGGTTGAGAATAATTAAGGGGCTTATATAATATGGCCTTTATTGTTGTTATTATTATGTAGTGTTAAGAATCTCTTAAGTGCAGCATTGTAATTTTCACTCATCTTTCCCGGTTGCTCCCCAGGTCTAAACTTGAACTACCTGAGGTTAACTGAAGCTGCTGAGCTGCTCTGTTTTTCTGAGTCTTTTGGTGCAACTGAAAAGACGACATGTAATAACTGGAGGATGTATGAAGAGGAAAAGAATGAACTTCAGTTGTTTTAACTATTTACTATTAGTTACTCCTCCCTGAATTATTTGTAATTTCTTCACATTTTATTAAAATATCTATCTCACTCTGGTATAGCCCTAGGCCAATTTGATTCCAGATCTATTTATTCTTAAGGGGGAAAAAAAGCTTTATTAGTATAATTGTGTTTGTTTGGTTTTAAACAAATAAACTTTGTCATGATCACTTTCACCACCTTTAATGGTGCTTCTGTGTTTTGGTTCAAGTTTTTGAACAAATTTGTTAAAATGATCTGTGTTACAAGGACTCATAATATTCAAATATATTTATTGGTCCCCTCCTGCTAAAAAATAATTATGCTGAAAATGAACTCACCTCAGGCTATCCAAGATGTAGATACGTTTGTTTGTTTGTTGGAACAGATTTAGAGAAATTTAACTACATCATTTTTTCAGAATCTAAAAAATAATTATGCTGAAAATGAACTCACCTCAGGCTATCCAAGATGTAGATACGTTTGTTTGTTTGTTTGTTGGAACAGATTTAGAGAAATTTAACACTACATCAGTTTTTCAGAAGCTCAACTATTCTTTTATGTGAGCAGTGAACAAATCAAAGGGATTTCAACACAGAAAAACAAAGCATGAAAAGGAAAATATGTATTATCCATGTCTTTTCAAATTCAGTCTTGTTTTAATTCAGTAGTATAACACAGGCTTACGAAAACACATCAAATCAACAATTTGAACAGTTTTAAGGTATGATTTAACATCGCTGTATTTTAGGTTGGAGACTAAAGACTCAAGAGACTTGACTAGATATTTGTCACACACTCTTCTCTTTCTGAGTCTGACATCCGTTCGAGATGCCAGTCAAACACAGTTGCCAAGTCCGCGTATTTTACGCGACATTGGGCTTCTTTTATTTGTGAAGTCGCGTTAAAAAAATCACGGGTCGCGGGTTGCGGTTTTTTGGGCTTATTTAAAAAAATAGGGTTGCTTATTAGAAAAACCTGACAAGCAACTTCGTTTTTTACATTTATGATCGCTGTTTTTTCCCCCCAATATATTGTTGACACTGTCTGCTCGCAGCTAATAGTCAATCAGTGCAATAATAAATTTGCTGTAGCGTTATTCATCATCCCCCATTGGAGTAAAGTCACGTTTAACGTGCAGACATGTGATGTTGTAATCCAAGCGCTGATGTAAATAGACAAACAAGGGCACCAACAGAGATGTGCAGAGAACAAACAATAATAGAAATAAACAATTGATAAATAATATTGATGATAATAAATAATATAATAATATTGGGCTTGTTTTTGAGGCTGCGGTTGCTTATTATCTTGTGAGAGTTGGCAACACTGCTTTCAAACCTGCATGATCACGGAAGCACCCGTTTGTCGTCTACTTCAACATGCGCCATTCTTGCTTTCTTCCCGGTGAAAATAAGGTAGCGGTGCAAAACCTATGCTAGCGAAAACTTATTCTGCAGTGGAAAGACTAACACAATGTATGTTTCTATTCTTGCAGAAAATGAACTGAAATGGGCACTTTCTACAGTATGTAAAACTAAGCATTTTCTCTCGTGACATGATTTCGTCACTCAAGACTAAAGAACGTAATCTTTAAGTTTATTGGTTTTTATTTTGTAAAATAAAAGTACTTTTAAGTTAAAGCTTGTCAAATCTTTCTCTGATCCTTAGCTCTATACAAAGCTTGTATTACTGTACTGAATAAGTGCTTATTTAGTTGATATTTCAGGCCAAAATGTTTCCCTTGTCATGTAGGCAGTTTCAGATCTCTCGCTGGGACAAATGTCAGCGCTGCAGCTCAGAGTGGAAGTCATATTATAGCTCCTGTACTCACCAACAATACAATAACAGGCGATGTCCACTTCCTACATAATGCACATGGTAAGAAAAAAAATGTTGTACTTCATAGATGCTGAAAATATTTTGGATAATGTTTCTGATAATTTCTTAAAGCTGCAGTCCGTAACTTTTTTTGGTTAAAAATGATCCAAAATCAATATTTAAGCAAGTACATGCCCAGCCAGTGTTCAAAACTATCGCCTTACTTTAGCCAGATTCACAACGGTTTTATTTTTTATTTTTTTTATTTGATTCCTCAGTGTTTGCTAAACGTTCTGTAATTTATTAGTCAGTATATAATACAGAATGTGGTGTATGCCTCATCTTATTCGTTTTTGTTAAAGCTGCAGTGCTTTTTTTGGTTAAAAATTATCCAAAATAAATATTTGAGCAAGTACATAACCAGCCAGTGTTCGAAACTATCGTCTTACTTTAGCCCGATTCACAACGGTTAGCTTATAATAATGTTTACTAATTTGAGTGGTACAGGTAGGTTTTCGCAGGAAATTCGAGCATGGCACTGCGTCATTATGTCACTTCTGTAAACATAAAGAAGTTGTCCCGGCTACTAGGCTATCGCATGTGAGGATCCTGCAGGTGGCGGATCGTTTATAGCCTTTTCTCACAGTAGCCAGGATAATGAAATGTATCATTTTGATGGCGGATTGTAATCCAGAAAGAATTATGCGTTTATGAGTTTCAAATGTGCATCTGATTACAGATAGCCTGGGATTACACGACAAGATCTGTATTTTTAATACAACCAGTTCGAAGGGAGCATAATTTGCTTTTTGGGTTAAAATAATTTCTAAATATGAAATTCGAATGGTATGACAATTAGAGTTTAGACCAGGGATCCTCAAATCTGGCCCACGAGATCCACTTTCCTGCAGAGTTTAGCTCTAACCCTAATCAAACACACCTGAGCATGCTAATCAATGTCTTCAGGATCATTAGAAAATCACAGGTAAGTAAGTTTGATCAGGGTTGGAGCTAAACTCTGCAGCGCATTGGCCCTCCAGGGCAAGATTTGAGGAACCCTGGTTTAGACTATACAGAAACTGAAATCACATGCTGATACACACTATACACATAGTCACGCAATGCTGATGTTGTTAACATTAAGAATTTGAGAATAAAGTTTAACAATAATAATAATTTGCACGGTTTGATGTAGGGCTGCACGATTAATCGAATGTGATTATCATGCGCATTTTGTTAAAAAAGCTGGTTCTGTAATCAGCAACTGTTGATCACAGAACCGTGCTTCACTGAAAGATACGCATGACAATCGCAGCTTCTGTCGAATCGCAATCTCGATTCCATTTCGATTTATCGTGCAGCCCTAGTTTGATGTGATATGAGCTAACCAATTGTTACACTTAATCACCATTGGTAGCGCGATTTATTGTAATGCTTTTTTCCTCAGTTGGTCAGAACAAACGTGGCAGACTTGTTACTTACTTGTTCAGATGACACTATCTGGAGAAAATTCTTATTTGGGTCATATATTCCAAGACGTAGGCTAGAATCTGTGATTGCGAAATACAGTAAATAACCACACTGACTGACAGCCACACATTCACCTCAAAACATTAGATTCATCCGTGCTGGAGCACAACCCCACTCAAGCTAGATAATTCCACACACAGCTGCAATTGCAGGTTTTCAAACAGAGTTCTTTTCTATAGTATTTCTGTTGATTTTTTTTTTTTAATATGTATCAAGTCATATGATAAAATATGTGCATTGTTGGATTAGTAAAAGATATATGTATCAAATATGTACTAATAAAATTATATTAATGCTATATATGTTCTAAATCTAGCTGTTAACAATCTATCATTTATAATTAATTGATATTGAGTAATTTCTAATTTTCTGCAGGTTTCACTTTTGATCGCCCACACTCTGAAACAACACAAACGTCAGGTAATAGATAAGTCTGATATGTGTTGAATATTTTTCCTTCTACCTATTAATTTATAAGCAACAATGTAGCGGAATCAGAATTTGTTCTAAAAGGCACTAACCCTCTGAATATTGGTTGTTTTAATTCTGAAGCAACAAGATCATTGATTTTCAAACATAAGACACGGATCTGCACAGAGTATCAGTATGTGACTGAGTATAACTCTCTGCCTGGTGAACGAGTGCTGCTGTCTGAGCGCTACACACAACCTCTGATTCTTCAGCGACATAGAGATCAAAAAGAGAGAGAAGCAGAGCTCCGCTCCAGTGGAGAGGACTTCCAGCAGGTCCTCAGCTCCAGGAGTGGTGATGAATCTTCCCATCTGAACTCTCTGTTCAACCCAGATGGCCATGGGATCAGTCCTAGTTCTGTTATACTGCAGGGAAATTCAGGGAATGGGAAGACCTTAACTGTGCAGAAGATCATGATGGACTGGGCATCTGATAAACTCTACAAAGAGCGGTTTGCTATTGTGTTCCACTTAAAGTGTAAAGAAATAAACCACATTCCTGGCATAAAGAGTTTGGTGGAGGTCTTGAGCTACAGCTGCAGTTTAACATCAGATGAGATCTCACAGATACTGCAGCAGTCACCAGAGAAGATACTTTTTATCATTGATGGATTTGATGAGTTGAAACTCACACAAGACATTTATGACATGTCACCTCACACTGATGTGATTCAGAAAGCTCCAGCTGAGGTCACTCTTTGTGCCCTGTTGAGGGGTCACATCTTGCCAGAGTCCTTCCTGCTGGTCGCCACCAGATCTACAGCTACAGACACACTGAGCAAGCTGCTCAAAGGACCTCAGCGTTTCACTGAGATTATGGGTTTCTCTGAGAAGGGGGTGGAGGAGTACTTCCAGAAGTTCTTTCAGGATGAGGAACTTTTCAAGAGGGCTTATACATTTGTGAAGACAAATGAAAACCTCTTCACCACCTGCTCCATCCCTGTGATCTGCTGGATCATCTGCACAACTATCAAGGAACGTTTCAGAGTTGGTGCAGATGTGACAAGCGTATTGGAAACCACCACCTCCATTTATGTTGACTTTGTGTCCACTCTACTGAAGCATCACTGCCAGGGTTTGAGTCAGTCTGTGCCGAACCTGCTGAGGAGTCTGGGTCAGCTGGCAGAGAGAGGGATGCTGGAACAACAAGTCTTGTTGGATGAGAAAACTGTTTATGAAACAATTTCAGACCCTGTTGCCAATCCATTTCTTTGCAAGTTCCTCTTTAAAAGAAGAATCTGCCAAGAGACGATGTTCAGTTTCATGCATCTCAGCTTTCAGGAGTTCCTCACCGCTCTCTACTGTTTCATTCTGGATGAAGAAGAGTCCCCGAGAAAACTTGCACAGCTAATTTCTGTTCAAGACTGTGGATGGTTGGAGCATCCTCCACGTTTTGCAGCTGTGGTTCAATTTGCATTTGGTCTCTTGAATAAGGATGTGAGACACACACTTAGAAAGACACTTGGTCTGTTTGTTCACCCAAACACACAGGCCCTTCTTAAAGAATGGATTTTGAAAGAGCTCCAAAGTGATATTTATCATTATAGAACACTTTTTATTCTTCACTGCCTCTATGAACTTCATGAAGAAGACTTTGTGATAAAAGCTATGAAATCCTGGAATAGGATTAATGCATATGGTGCATTCTTTAGAAGAACAGACTGCTGGGCCCTGCTGTACTGCTCTCAGTGCTGTCAGTGCATAGAAGAACTGAGTCTCATTGATTGCAGATTAACATCTGAAAAGTTGATGATGATTCTGCCTGCACTCCCCAAGTTTAAGAAATTAACGTAAGTGCACTCTTTGCTGTCTACAGCAAATCCTACACTGAAGATGTTTTAATATTCATACCCCGTTTGTAGTCCTATTTTATTGTGATACCACCACCACTGGTTGAATAATTTTTATATGTTCAATTTATTTTCAAGTATTCCTAATGTAAAACAAAAGTCTTACAACTGTCAAACTAATCACAGAATATTAAGATGAAATTTTTCTGTGTAACATAATTCACTCTGAAATCTGTTTAAATTACAAATACATATTTTCTACATTTTTTAATGTCATATTTTTATTGTTTGTTGTTGAAAGTTGAACTTGATTATTTAGTCTGTATTTATTATTTAGTAATGTTCTGGATTTTGAAGTTTGTCTCTAGAGGATCCATCGGTCTCTGATCTTGTTGAGCTGATGTGTGCGCTGACAAGAGGACAGACCCTGAACTCACTGGAGTAATGTTTTTTAATACCACTCACTCAGAATACATATACAGTACATTTGATGTATTTTATGCACATGTGCTATCATCCTTCAGTGTGCTTTTGTTTTGGTTTTAGTTCATAGAGATTTTATCTGTGCTTTGCAGTGTTCTTGTCATGTCAAATGTTGGGACTTGTTCTGTCCGTACAGCTGATCTGTCAACCAGCGAAGAGCTATCCAGGTGAAGAAAAAGTAAAAAAAAAAACTTTCTGTTCATCAAATGGCCTCTTTCTCATGATAACTGGAAAAAAATACATGACACATATTTTGGATAACCAATCATATAAACACCTCCAGTAATCATGATAGCATAATTGTTTTTTCTGTACAAGCCTTTGTCTGGCAAATCTCTCACATTTATCTGGCACGTTTGTTGTCCAGTCAATCTAATACCTTCAGATTATTACATGTGTTTTACATTACAGTACATGTGTGTCTTTAATTGATACCAATTCTTCTTCTTTTGAATAGAATCTACATACAACCTCCACGGCGTGTTGATCCTGCAGGATCTTTGCAATCACTTGATCTCACCTTCCCACGCTCAGAGCTCAACAACATCAACTGGACCAAACTTTTTCAGATAATTCACCACAATAATTTAGATGCATTAATGCTTATTCCCTGTTCTTTCTCTAAACTGAAAAAGATGGAAGTAAGAGTAGACTGCCTGACCAAGAGATGGTGTGTTTGGACCCTTCAGATCATCCAGAACTGCCCCAGTCTAACAGAACTCAAGTAGGAATAGGATTTGAAATCACCTTCTGTCCTGTGTCTGTATAAATTATGAACTAATGTGTAGGTCATATTTTAAAGGATGGTCCACCCAAAAATGAAAATTCTGTTATAATTTACTCAACCTCACGTCGCTCCAAACCGGTTGCCTTTATTCTGTGGAACACAGAGGATATTTAACATATCTCAGAAGATATGTTCTTGCTAACAGATCCATTTCAATTATGGGATTGTTCAAATTAATGTGTGAGAAGCAAAGTATTAAGTGTTTCAGTTCCTAAAATCTATATCATTTTATCTTTAACTAGGGTAGATGCTTACTTTTTACTGGAGGAGGGAATCAAGATCTTACAGAGGTCACGCACAAGACCAGCCTGTATTATGAGAGTTGACGGGTTTGTATTGGTCTATCATCATACTTTTTGCATCAGTAAATTTACTTGTATATCTTTTCTATGCAGTTTAATAGCGACTAGAGATTTTAAGCTTCAAAACAAAAACACCATGATGTGACTTGTGCTGCATAGTCTTCCGAAGTTACATATCATTTTGTGAGGAACAAACCCAGCTGAGGAGCAATCTCTTATAGCTCTGTGAATAGCTACTTCAATTTAGGTCTATTTCTCCCACAAATCATTGTTGTGATTATTTTCAGTGATTGTTTTCTATTAAAAGCAGATGTCTGGTTTGTTAATAACTCTGCAGTGATGCTATGCTTTGTGCTTTCTGGTTATGAAGGTTGGTTTGCCATAAACAGTCTCAAAAATGTACACATAAGGACGATAAACTTAGCTGCAACCAGAAGGTGATGATTCATTTGAGTTCTCAGGGCTGTTCTATGGAGACTTTGCGGAAGTAAGTAAAAACTAAGGTTAACAAATTAATGCATAAATAATGAGAACTGTAAAATGATACCAGCCAGAAACACAAAATATTTACTTTTTATGATTTATACAAGATTTCCACGTGAACATTTTGTGTTATATTTTAAGAGTGTATGATCACATATTTATACGTTTTATCTCGTCTCTCCATTTTTAAGGTCCTTGTTTTAAAACTAATGGTACGGCGTGATAACTAGGAGAAAGCTACAAAAGCAGCACCTTCACTTAGAGCTGTGGATGGAGATGACGACATAACCCAAATGTATATAAAATGCAGCTAGGTGTTGTATTGTAATAGTTGTCAAGTCAATTTATTTATATAACTCTTTCCACAATACATATTGTTTCAAATCAGCTTTACAGATTCATGATGTTGATGCTTAATTTTTCGGTAGTTTAGAGCTGGGTGATTTTGGGGTAACATTTGATGATACAATCAATCAAGAAGTTGAGATTTGCTAAATTTTATATATTGTGACTATGTGAGTGTACGGTTTGTATGCAGAAAAAAAATGGATATACTTGTAATTTTAAGTTGGGGTTATTCTTTTGTGATGCAGAGGATTCATTTGACAGTTGATAATGGAGACGAAAAGCCTTGGGAGAAACCAGGCTTCAGTTCTCCTCTGGATATACGTTCAAAATATAGTGTCAGTAATTTAGTAGCATGTTATCACTGATTTCATTTTGCAATATTGTAAAAAATAAATAAAACATGAAAGCAAAGTCTCTGTAGATGTTTATTAATTTGCATTACTTCAAGGAACAGCTTACCCAAAAATGAAAACTGACTTTATGTTGTTCCAAACCTACATGATTCTTTCTGCTGTGAATCACAAATGTGACCTTGGACCACAAAACCAGTCTCAAGTGTCAATTTTTTCAAAATTGAGATTTATACATCATCTGAAAGCTGAATAAATAAGCTTTCCATTAATGTATGGGTTGTTAGGATCGGGCAATATTTGGTCGAGATACAACTATTTGAAAATCTGGAATCTGATGGTGCAAAAAAATCATAATACTGAGAAAATCGCCTTTAAAGTTGTCCAAATTAAGTTCTTAGCAATGCATATTACTAATTAAAAATTAAGTTTTGATATATTTATGGTAGGAAATTTACAAAATATCTTCATGGAACATGATCTTTACTTAATATCCTAATGATTTTTGGTATAAAAGAAAAACCTATAATTTTGACCCATGCAATGTATTTTTGGCTATTGCTACAAATATATCCCAGCGACTTAAGACTGGTTTTGTGGTGCAGGGTCACAAATAATGATTTTTTAAATAATGTCCTGGCCACTCTTTTGCATATAAATGGAAAGAGGGCAGGGGCTATCAAGCTCCAAAATGGCAAAAGTATAAAAGTGTCCATATGACTGCCATTATTTAAATCTTCTGAAGCCATATGACAAGCATAGCTCAAGCAACAAACCAAAATGAAAGTTAATTTCATACCAACCAGAGCTAAGGCAGATGTCAAGAGAAAAATTTTTGATTTATGAATGATCAGTTTGTGTGCGTGTCTGATCTTCTCAATCAGGTGATCAGGTTCACAATGAAAATTCATTCATGGATCACTGAATTCACCAACATACATTCTAAAATCTGGATAAGTTTACTTTAATAACATTTCACCTGAGAAATAAATAAAACCCATTGACTGTAGATCCAACCCACTAAAAATACTGAAGAAATCTTTCAAAAAAACAAAAAAACAAAAGCAAATTTAATTCGTTAAGACTTGACAAGAAGCACTTTGGTCCACAGCTTCTTGAGTTCAAATTCTGCATGAAACTGCAGGGGTGACGTAGAGAAAAAGCTGCATTTGTTCATGTTGCACGAGTTGCAACTTGCATTTTTTCAATTGCAAAACTTGCATTTGAGAAATGACACCGAAAAGAGTTGTGCTGGTCAAACACTTAATGCCCTGGGTTTATTAAACATTTGTCATATTTGTCATAAGTTTTTTTTATTATTCATTCTTCCAGGTGGGACTAAAAAAAAACACCTCAAAGATAAATGATGCCATTGGAACGGGCATTCAGATTGTGGTACATACAAACAACAACTACGAGTAGCCTTGTGAGGTACCGTCCTCTTCACAGAAGAGAGCTCATGCTGGCCCCACAGGACGGGTGCCACCATGAAGTCTTACAGGAAACAAAACATCCCTTTTTTGTTCGTTTTCCTTGTTTTCATATAAAGTGGAATGATGATGATGATAAAGAAACATACTGAGATGTCACTGTAGTCCTCTCCCTTATGAACTACTGTTACGCACAAATAACATATAACACAGGGGACATACAATCAGTCATCAAAACAGAGGTAATAAAAATAAACCCATTTAAGTTTCACAAACCCCAAATGAAAAAGGGCCTCTCAGATTCCAGAAAAAAAGACTTGTACAAAGAATCATACAAAAAGCAGCATTGATTAAAAAAATAAATAAATTAAAAATAGTGCTTGAGTGGAGTGGGAGCAGCCACATGAGAGACAGAGTGAGAGTGAGAGTGAGAGTGAGAGTGAGAGATGAACCCCTGCTGCTTTTTTCCAACAAGAGATGTTCACATACAACTGCTTTTGCGACATACACACACACGTTCACACACACGTTCACACACACACACACACACACACACGTTCACACACACACACACACACACACACGTTCACACACACACACACACACACACACAGAAACCCAGGAAGTTACAGTGTATTAAAAAATTAAGAATTTAAAAGGGGAAAAAAATATGTAAACACCTCACAATAAATAGATAAAACAGCAGGTTTTGCACCATGCATGTGACATACATTCAGATAGTCTCACAAACACTTGAACATTCACAATCTCCGACACACACACACGCGCACAAACTGCACACACACTAAGAAAATCGCAGTTTTTTTCTGATTTTTTTTCCCAAGTGCAAAACATCACAAATGAACAATTTCTGTATTCAAGTAATGTTATATACAAGGGGGTGTATTACAAATATGTATGTAGATAGAATATTTTCCATATTTCATAATTTACAGATGTTATCTTTAACAGTAACAACATTTTGGAAAAAGACAAAAACAAAAAAGATGAGCATTGCAATTAAGTCCCAACGGCTGCCACGGAAACCGCATCGCTATGATGCATAGCACCTAAAGGAGACGCCTCGATTGAGAGGTGTGTGAATGCTTGAGGGGGGCGGGGCTACGTCACCTCCATGGCGACTGTGTTGTCTGTTAGACTGTTTAACGGAGGTTTCTCTTGATCGTGGTTTTCCCTGCAAGACAAATTCAATACAAAGAACTTATTAGGAGACCTCAAATTCAATCTGTTACTTTTGTCTGGTAAATCACCAGTGAAGAACAAAAACTGCTACTTAATAATAATAATAATAATAATAAAAACAGTAGTACTACTAGAGCTTAAGTAGTGAACATAAAACAGCATTTATAATTATTTTTATTTTTCTAATGCAATACAATGTTTCTGTTAGGGATGTGCGCGACGACTAATTTGACTGTTGTTTAAACTAAAGTTTTGTATCCGACTAGTCTAAAAGCAAAAAAAACTCTGTGCGTGCGTGTAGCATATATAATAGCCTATATTTGAAATACTTAATCTATGAATCACACTGTCAAATCCCTCAATGAATTCTGCTTGCCGCACACTTGCCTCGCGTTATCATCATTTCATTTTAGGTGGTCGTTAAAAAGAAATAAAAGAAGAGCATACACTCAACTTCGGTCAAAGCATAGCTTATTTATTCAAATCAGCTGGGGAAATGCAGAACAATGGAAAATCAATCAATAGTCTGACAGAATTCTTAATCTTCATTAGAGGTCGACCGATGTATCGGTTTTGCCGATTAATCGGCACCGATAGTTGATTGCTGGAACTATCAGTTATCGACAAAAATCCATGCCGATAGTTTTCCGGGTTGCGTCCATTGCTGGAGCGGCTGAGAAGGGTCTGCTGTCATTACACAGTGCGAGAGCAGCCTCTAGTGGTTGAAATCACTGACAGCATGTGCTATTTGTTTAGACACGTGATACTGCATGCTGAACAACAGAGCGGGAAACTTCAGACCCGGATTTAAATACAGCCGACAGAAAATCCTGCCGCGCCACAGAGCACCATTCACATAGTTTTCCATTAAATTACATTATATTGGTCCCGAATCGTTGTTAACGTACATAATGAATTGTGTATTGTGCATTTTTAGCAAAACGTTTGTCTTTCTGTGGGTTATTTGTTCAGTGAAATTATCAACGTGGTCTGGTGAAAGACGGGACCTGAGGCGATTAACAATAAAATTCCTGCACTTGAAAAAACGCGCTCGGCAGGAACTGAAGTCGCAGGCACACAGAGATAACGAAAAGCAAGCAGATAGTTTCATAAAGCGCATGGACATCCCGCACCACCACCGAAGTGGGTCTTTGTTAGAGGAATAGACGGCGCGGATGGGATCGCAGCGGCTGCGGGTTGTAGTGAATGACGTGATTGACATTAGCTGGTTTTGGCCAGCCTCTAAGCTAACGCCTACGTGCCTGTATTGAATATGATTATGCATCGCTCCAGTAGAGTTATTGTAAAACGATTTGACATTACACAGTTTACTCAAAACTTTTCAGTTTCCTTCTAATTAAAAATAATCCCACACCTTGCTCGTCTTTCGCGTGGTCATTTTTGAACTCGCCGCAGCATGGCACGAAGAAAACTCATGTGAGGTCTGAGGTAAAAATGTAGTTTCCGCCCAGATAAACTTTTAAAAAATAATGTATTATTTTTCAAACGTTTTATTTTAACTAGTTATTTAAAATGTTTTAAATGCAATGTTAAAATGATGGTAATGTGAATGATAAAATCCTTTTTGTGTTTTTCTTTTTTTTTGTCGTGTAATCGACTATTGTTTTCAGTGTCGACTAGTAGGAGCTGTACTGTTTAGTCGACTAGTCAACTAGACCCGCACATCCCTAGTTTCTGTTTTGCAATCAGGAATAGGATAACGCTATAGCTCATAATCAACAAATAGTCATTATTAAAACTTCATATTTTTCTAAATGAAAAAAATGTCATGTTAAATTTTAAAAGCAAATTTTAAAAAGATCGAAAATGTATGAAAAATCTATATTTATTTTGATTAAGATCACACTTACCAACTGTAAAATTATTTATGTTTTTAAGATGAACTTCAAGTGAGTGTTAGATGATGTCAAAGACAATCTAACTCTAAAAATCGGAAGAATCTGCATTGGTTGACAGAGAATATTAAATATTGACCAATACAGATTTGTGCATGCTAAGGCAGTACGATTTGGGGAAAAGTATCTAATTGTGATTTTTCTTAAAAAAAAAAATTATAATTGTGATTTAAAATGCATTAGCAACAAAAAAAGGCTAATGTTTGCTGTGCTTGTTTATTTAGGATTGCACAATTTGGACAAAAATTATGATTATATCAATATGATACAATAATAATTATTATACCTACTACTACATAATTGTTGTAATATTGTAATTTCACAAAGAAAAAAGAAAAAAAATACAGTACTGAAATTATAATACTAATATCTATGGCCGTCTCAAAATAACCATTTTCAAACTTTAAAGGCACAATATGTAATTTTCGCCGCTAGAGGGCGCGTATTCAAAATAAACAAATAGACAAAGGCGTATTTTGATGACGCTGTGATTGAGTGTGGAATCATGGGTGTTGTGGTCTTCATCCCCACAGCCGACGCAATCCGACTGGACTCTGGCAGAAATCATGTTCATGGATGAGCCTGTGTGTACATTAATGAGGAAAAAAAATTAACTTAAATGATTTTAGCAAATGGCTGCAATATAACAAAGAGTGAAAAATTGAAGGGGGTCTGAATAT